AAATCACTTCGTGTTTGAACGCACATAGCCAGCCACCTGGTCAGGTTACGTGCCACGGTCGATTAGAAGATATGAGAAAACATAAGTTGATTGCATTGATTATGCAATGATTAGTCCAATGTATTGAGTTGTAAATTATTAAATTATTTAAATCAGTATCTTTTTTAAAGCCCAAGGTAGAAAAAAAAAATGATTAAGAAAAGTCAAAATCAGGATTGCTGATTTAACATGCATACAAATAAATACAACTTACATTGTACCAAAATTGAATGTTATATGAGAAATGGGTTTGGAGACTTTCTTTGAATGATCCTGTGGTCTAACTCTAAAAGGTGACACCCTGAGAGTTTATTAAAAGTTTTACACGAAATTTATGGCATTCAAGTTCATTTTTTGTTATGATCAAATTTTTCAGTTGATCATGTTGATAGATTATGCAAATAAGAAATGCCCTATACAATGATTTTTTTTAAAGGTACCCCCCCCCCTTAAAAAAAAAAAATCCTTACTGTTTGTTTGTCAAAGACAATTAACGCAACCCATGGAGAAAAAAAAAATACCTCCAAACTATTCTTGGGCATGCCACAGCCAGATTCACACCTATTCCTTTTTGACCTATCCAATTTCTTGATTAAGTAGATTAAATGTTATTATTTGTTATTCCTATATTAAAGAAAGAAGATAAAATAATATACAGTAAACTTCTTTTATAACGTACTCGGTTACAAAGTATCCCCAGATGTAAAGTAGCCATTCTGTAGTCCCAGCAAAGTGTCTAGTATATATTTCATTGGTAAAACACCGCTTACAACGTATTTGTATATAAGGTAGTATCGTTTATACAGTATAAGAAATTTGGTCCCGTTACAAAATGACATCTCTTAAAACGTATTCTGACACCTGGTTTCACACCTTTTCTATTAGCTCGGTGACTGCGGTTTAGTCACGGTTTGTTGACTTCATAGCTTGCTCGTAATGGGTGTTTTTCTAACGAGGTTTCTTTGTTGTTTTAGGTAAATGTATTTATAATAAATTGTTTTAATAAAGTTCATCTTTGAATTAATAAAATTAATTTAAAATAGCAATATGACCGAAAATGGTATAATTAAACAAGTGAAAGAAAAATACAGTGATTCAATATCAGTAGACCGCGACGACAGCGAGGACGACGAGGCCGTGCCTCACGCGTGTGTACCATCTACCCAGACGATCAAAGGGCATTAGTCCGAAATTAAAACTTACGTAAACTCGTTTGAAGGTGTTGAAGACAAGTGTTTTCTCCGTTCTGGTAATTCTGGAAACTTTTGTAAATAAATGTCCAAGCAGATAAACATTACGGACTTTTTAAAATGATCTTACGATCATCAAGATTGTACAGCTTAATGATTTTGAAATAATTTATACTTTGTGAAAATAAAATCTTACTGAATATTAGTCTTTCTTAATATTAGAAATGAAACCAAATATACCCACAAACCATTTTTTACATAATCTACATATTGAATAACATCGCTAGGGGTTTGAAAGTTTGAACTGATTACTTCTTGTCTCCCTTTATAACGTACATCGGTTATAACGTAGGATTTATCACAGTCCCCTGAGATACGTTATAAAAGATGTCTACTGTATTAAAAAAAAATAGAAAATTATTTAAGTAAACCCAGTGGAATTTGGTTTCAAGATGTCACATGGAATGTTTATATTGCATTCTGGTGAGAGGTAAAAGTATGTGATTATAATAGTACCTTTCATATTGAAATAAAACCTAAAATTAAATAATGATTGTGTTCGTTGTGCTGGTCATTTTAATAATGAGAACAACAGATCGGGACACACAATATTCAAGCATAATATAAATCTTACCTTGCAATAAATGCCATGGTTTTAATTTTCACTACTATAACTTCTGTTACATATTGCACTATAATTTATCATTGTCATTATTTCGTAAACAACCCACTGCAAATTTATAAAGCATAGGCGAAACATTCAATTGTGTTATGCACATTGCTATATTTTGAATATTTTGTTGAATCTGTAATGACGTCATCTTCGTAAAGAATTTATTTTTGACATGAAAACCATATTTAGCATATTTCATTGGAACACAGATATTCTTATTTACTTTGTTTGTCCTTTAAAGCTGAATATGTCAGGCGCGGATCCAGGAATATTTTCCGGGGGGGGGGGGGTGGGGGGGGCGGGGGGGCATCCCAGTCTAAAAAAAAGTTGCAACCCTAAAATTTCTTGACAGGCAAAAAAAAAAAAAAAAAAAAAAAAAAAAAAACAAACAAACAAAACAAAACAAAACAAAACAAAATTAACAAAAAAACAAAAACGTACAACCGTGTAGTCCCTTCCTTTTCGTATTAAACCCAGAAAATTTCTTGACAAGCCCCCTACCCCCACTCCTCCCCCCCCCCCCAAAAAAAAAAAATTAAAATCCATTTCCAAAACGTAAAAAACGACTACTAGTATTTCGTGGTGGTGATGGTGGGGTCTATTTTTGCATCCGATGCACGTCTACAATACCTTGCCGGATACATAAATGAATATTTAAAATTAATGGTAATAAATCCACAGCCTTATTTCGTGGTTTTACAATAATCTAAAAATATCTATTCTTCTTTTCTATGTCTAAAACGTAGCGCATCAAATCAATAAATTTTCAATTTGCCCTCATTGCATTGAGACACTTACCCAGTGGTTTACAGTTTCTGGTAAGACAGTATAATAAGATTGGATTTATTCTATTGTTCTCTAATTGTATACTAAATATTTTTTTTTTTCCGCTGAATTTTTTTTTTTATGTAGCCGTGTAACGCAACCTGTTCTGCTCTGATCTAACGATGAGCAATGAGTTATTTTTTTAAGAGTGCTTTACTTCCAAAACATGGACACAATCTTTAAGAGAATAATGCGTATACTGAGGCCATCATTAAAAATATCTTTGTTTCCCCTCACCCGACCCTAAAATTTCAAGTTGGGAAGGTAGGTAGGTAAATTATTATTATTTTTTTTTTTGACAGCAGTTTTGAAAATACATTCTGAAAAATTGATTAATATCTTTATAAATAAGAGAGAACAAAAGAAACCGATTTTTAAACCGAATATCATACAATGAAATTCAAAAGCAACATGTATAATGGTAAATTAATTCACAAATATTATTCATTTGAACTGTGAAATATATCAGGCCAGCGTAAATTTATTGAAATCAAATTTTTACAAAAAGACAAGATTTGCAAATACTCAACCATCGGATATCCGAGTATGTTTTTCAAACCTACTATCATCTTCGAGTACTTACCAGGCAAACTGTCAAGGACTCGCGTGGCGCAGTGATACTAGTGTTTTGTTTTGGAATCACGACGTAATTCAGGAGCTTATTCTAAGTCACAGGTCCCGACGTGGGACGTGGAGACTGGTCAGTCGAATGAGACCGTAAAAAAACTTAGGTCCGTGCAGTGTCGCAGTATACATGTAGATGTTTGCACGAAAAAGATCCCTTACTGATGCTTAATGATCAATGACCAAAGTCTAAATTAGGAGCCCTCCACCAGGCAGGTGTTCAAATGTTGTCGACCAATTTTTAAAGGTATTTTAAAGCAAAGAAACAACCTAATTTCAAGGGTCTAGCTAAAGAAAAATACACTGGACGTCTCAGGAAACTGTACCATAAGCCCCCTCATCTGCTCATGAGGCAGGCTTTGCCATGCTTACTACGTACGTTAATTTTAGAAGACACATTTGTAACACTCCCTAGTCATGATATATTTAATTCACGAAGTGTTTCAAGAGTGTAGGATTCTAATAAGTTAAAGATATTAAATAAGATAAATACATCGTCGTTGTTTTATAACACCTCTGTGGCCACATATTGTGGGCGACAAATGAGAGTAAAACAAAAGCCGACATTCCGATAAAAATGGATTTTGATGAAATTGTATTTTATAAAGTTGATAAACAATAAAAAAAAAAAAAAATGTTTGAATAATCTTATTAAAAAAACTTTTCAGTCGGCACGATTTAAGTGGGTCGGTCGCGTTAGGTGAAACAAAGGTATTTTTTTTATTTTGGCCTGAGAAAATACATTTATGGCTTGTCACCATTTTCCATTTTTATACCCCTACCATTTTTTTTACTTAGCACAATCTGGATAATTTGACACTAAATAAAATATAATATTTAGTTCATCGCTTTCCTACCTATAATTCCTTAATTTTGAGCACATTACCATATATTTAATGGTCATACACACCTTGTAAAAAATATAATAGAATAATGAATATTTTAGATTAATATAGGTGTTGTAAAATATAGGTGCATTTAATTTCTTTCAAAATAAAATATTGTTTATATATATGGAAAAAAAAATCGAGGAAATGTTACAACACCTAAGTATTTCATTTTTAATGTTTTGCTTCATCTCTGTAAAATTTATAAAAGAAACAAGCATACCATACAAATCTGAATGAATCAATTTCCCCCAGGACTCATCCTTCCACCTTCTGCACTACATTGTACCACCGAACCATAATACAAATGAAGATAAATGAGAAAAATAAAGCGATAAATTTCATAGATATATTGGTATCTTTTAGAGATATACATGTATTGCAAATATTAAAAAGAACACGAAAGGAAAAAAAAATCCTGCAATTCTATGTTTACCCGGGTTTGTCACAAATCTTTTCATTTTATCATATAAAACTTGTCTTTTCAGTTGTATTGAATTATGATCGCACTGATCAAATGTCTAAAACATTTTACATAAGATTTAAAACATGCAATAGTCACCGGATACGCCACAATGCACTCTATAGATAAATGGGTAAGGGACGGTTTTTCAATTGACTCAAGCTTGCGTTTTACCTAAGGTATTACGAATGATTTAAATTCTCCGGGTCAACAGATATCACAAAATTGCTGTAAACAAGTTCAAATTTGTCTGCATTTGTTACTTCCTTGTTAAGGATATGGAAACGGTGTTTATCAAAATGCCTCTGACAGTATTCCATTTTGGTTTGCTTATCGTTTGTACTTACGGATTTGGTAAGTTTCTAGTAATGTTTTAATAGGGATTCCTTTCATTGAAAATAATTTAGATACGTTGGAAATACAAAGAATAAAAAAAGGAATATCGATCGGATCTAATGCAGTTTTCTTTCCTCACCTGATTCATTCTGGTTGCATAAATACATGTATGTATGTAAATATTGAGCCAATACATACATTACAGTAAATACGGGGTGACCCAATTTATCTGATACCATTTTTACGGGTATTAAAACTCTCAATTGGCATATTTTCAAGTGAAATGTAATATTTCAAGTTTTTATACATGCTTTCACATTTTGTACAGTATATATCACACATAGTTTACGAACGCCCTCAAATCAGTGCGCCCCTCTGCCCCGACAGGCGACCCTTTGTCCCCAGTTAGGACCCCTTATCACTCTGGCTGTCCTTTTTTCCCTCACTAGAATAATTAATGTGATCCAAAGCAGATTACCGAGGGAAAATCAGCAAATTCACACCTCTTGTACATCGACGATTCCGCAACAAGGCTCGCATTACGGGACCTATATACATGTGCCTTCTTCCAATTATAAGTGATTAGGCACTTGATAGTCTGATTTTTTGATTTCTGAGAATGTCCAAGCTATCTGTTCTAATATAAAAAAGATGAGGCTTGTTTTAAAGCCTTCTAGAAATAAATCAGGAAGTGAAAGTAGCATTAACATTGACCCTCAGTTCTACTTATAAAATGTTGACTTTTTCTAAGGGAAAAAGAAATAAATAAATAAAAAAATAAAGGAATTTAATATTCAAATACAACAGAAACAAGTATAAATATTTAAATGTTTTCTCCTTAATTATGATATTTGACACTTTTGAAGGTATTTTAAAAGATCACAAATGATATGCAACTATGTTCCATTTAATTGACAGAAGTTTAAAACTTTATTTAATTAATTGATTTTCATGACCAATATGATAAAACAAGCAAGAACGATATAGGCTTTAAATTGTACGTTTAATACTATCATGTCACCTATGAACTACAAATACTGTGTCTATCTACATATTTATACATTTGCCCAAAACAGATTCAGTTCGAAAAGGTAGATCTATATAAATTTACATACTAGCTTTAGATAGTGTATGTTTAGATATCTTTCAAATTTAAAAAAAAAGGTTAAATAAATTAATAAAATTTGAAGGAGTTCATTATTATAAGGGTGAAGTAATGAGATACGCCTATGTATCAAAAGCTTGCGACAAACGATAAGTTGCTAAAAAGTGCCCTTCTCTTGTAATCCTCCATTTGCACATCCTAGCTGGAAAACTGACTGTATGAAGTTTTATAGGAACAATATTTGTTAACATGGTATCTATTCATTCAAATAAATGAAATGTTAACCTGAATGAAAAATTGTAATTTATCATATTTAGCAGACACTACTACCCCTTATATTTGCCAACATTTACATGTACGTTATATGTCACTGGTTTCAACATTAAGGGAAAAAAAAAATTATGTTTTTAAATTGCCGTCTAACAAAAAAAAAAAAAAAAAAAAGATTGATATTGATATAGTACAATGTGTAAATAATTTTGATACTGTAAAAGAAAAAAAAATACAATCGTCACATAATTGCAGTTAAAATGGTCACTAATGATCACTAAAAGTTACAAATAAAGAAAGAAACTTAATCTCAGCAGTTGTTGAAATACCAAACACTTTTCCAAATTGTACATATAGTATACTTTTCAAACGACCATTATGTGCAAATTTTGCCCAGTGTCATTTTCATTTGAAAACTAAAAAATATTTGAATGCATATATCCCATATATCAATTTGGTAATTTAAGTATATTAAAGTATAATTGTTTAGATGGAATGTAAGCATTTGAGAGCATGACAATTCACAAGACCATGATCAATTGTAAACATTTCACTTGAAAACCAAGACTCATTTTAGTTTTGAGAAGTTACTGTAAAAAAAATAATAAAAACAAAATACAAACAAACCAAAAAAAAAAAAAAAACAAAAACAAAAAAAACAAAAAAAAAAAAAAAAAAAAACAAAAAACAAACAATACCAGCAGTAAAAACAACTATCAAATTATAACACAAGGAAAGGTGGGATGATTTAAAGCAGATCCAACTGAAAAGACTAGTTTGTAAAAAAAAATAAATAAATAAAAATTAAAAAAAAATAGATTTCACTCAGGGAACACACTGGAAGAACAGAACTATATGATCATGAGCGCTCTCTTTTATGCCATGCCCATTTCCTCTGATTCCCGCCCCGACAACTTGAAGAAACAAAAGAATTATTGTTTTAATTAAATGCGAACTCATTCTAACACTCTAAAATTGAACTTATCGTAAAACTAACATTGCAACATTTTAAACAAGTCCCCTTGAACAAATAAATGCACAGCAAATATTTTTCAATGGGGTGTCATGAAAGACCAGATTTGACACATATAGTGTCAATAAAGGAATGATTAGGGTGAAGATAACGAACAGTGAACGACCTAAAAAAAATCTATAAACAATATAAATCTGTGAAGAGGGCATAAAACACGAACCCCTGGGAATGTCAAAGTTGGGATCAGGTGCTTGAGATTAGAAAGAATCCCCTGTTGACCGGTCACACCTGCCGTGAGCCCTATGTATTGATCACGTTAAGGGAAAATTCCGTAGTCAATTTCATTATAAAAACACGGTCCTTACAATTGGTATGAAACACGTCAGCCAAAATGTGACCCAATTATATATTTGCTAACAAGGTAATTATATCGACCATAGAATTTACTAAATACTACCTATAAACGGGGTTGTTGAAATCCCTGTAACATCAACTTATCAGTAGCCAGTCAGTAGCCTGCCTCCGTTTAAAATTGATCATGCTCGGAGCATGTTGTTGAGTATCGAATAAGCTGGGAGATGTAAACACCATACGCAGGTGATAGCGGGATATTACCAAACAAGTAAGGAAAATTGTCAATGGAAAAGCTGAAGTTATCTCCTTTGTCATACAATTTAGTTGTTAGTTGGCCCATATCGTCTGTAGTCAGTAAAACTTTCGAATATGAAACAGACGTGGTACACTGTGGTGTTTTTTATTTCAAGTTCACTGGGATATATCGAGTCGACATATGGATGGCACTAATTATCGTTAATTGATAATACGTCGTCGATATAACTTCATGTAAATGTCGAGTTGAAGGCTAGGCAAGTGTTTTCTTCTTGTCATGTAGAAGTTTTTGAATAAATTCTGCTTCATAGGAATATAAAAACAGGCTACTAAGTATGATTCAATTTCTCTTGGAAAGAAAGATGTCGTAATCGGTTTATAAATTTTACCTCCTGATAACGTTTAAAGAATTTAATTGAGATGGTATTAAATTTGATTCAAATTCTTTATCTTGGCAAACTTAACTTTTTTTGGCTATTGGTTGTACTTACAGATATTGAAAGTAAAGTTTCCAGTGAAATTTAATGTGCCTGCTCTCAATACATTGATAAATGATTTTGTTTTAAAACAAAAATGTATAGAGTATTGATTACGCTTAGATACAAAGTTTTTTTCCCCACTTGCACTGGATACCTAATGCATTGCAATACATGTATTATATTGTAAATAAATACTTGTCATAAGAAATGAGAAGGCTATAAATTTTAGTCAATACCTCCGATAAACAATTACAAAATGAATGTTTTTATGGAGCATAGGAAAAATGCCAGCAATACTCAAATTATAAAAAAGAATCATACTTTATTGTCTTAAATTTTTTCAGAGAATCTGGCTATTGGAAAATTATAAGAAAGAATCATACTTTATTGTCTTAATTTTTTTCAGAGAATCTGGCTATTGGAAAATCTACTTGGCAAAGCACAACACACGACTCCACCGTTCCTTCTCGAAAAGCTGTTGACGGTTCAAAATCAGATTTGTCCTATAGTGGAGGACAATGTAGCATTTCAAAAGATGGGCAAAGAAGTGTAACATGGTGGGTAGACCTCGGGACAATATCTAGCGTGTATAACATTGTCATTTACTACAGGACGGACGGATTTGTATGGAGTACGTATAATACCAATGATTCATCATCATCATCATCATCATCATCATAAGATAAAGACAGCCTGGTACATAAAGGTGCACATATGTTCAAAGTCTTCCCCAAAGCCTTCTAGATACCAAGTACAAATATATACATATAAATGTATATTCTTTTTTCAATGTTTGCAAAAAGTACGGAAACTGCTTAATCTTGAATTCATTGTATGACTTAAATAATGTGCACTCTGTTTATGAACACTGCATTGAAAGATGATATTTAACATAAACAGTACATAATTTTTAAAAAATAAACTATCCTGCCATTATTAGATGATTCTCATCACCATTTTTTGCGAACAAAATATCGATTTAGAACTGGGTATACATTTTAAAGAGTGCAAAAAAAGTCATACAATGTGTTTTAATTAATTAACAGAACGTAAAATTTGTGTGAATAGATTAAATTTAAGAGCATTTTAGGTATGTTCAAATATTGATAAATTATTTCTACACAGCAAATATAAATTTAAAAAGTTGTTTTATAGACCGATTATCGTTGAGCGCTATCTATCTTCGACAACATTTTTTTTTCTTTTTTCTGAGAATAACAATTCATGATCTCATTTTTACTTGGAATGTCATAATTACTTTCCATTTCTTTTATTAAGATATTTTTATCTGGTTCTTTTTTTCATTTTCATACATGTATTTAGAAAAGAATTTATAACTATCATTTCTAATGTGTAATATCCAAAATTATTTTTGGCTTTGCTACTTTTTTCCCACTATGTATTATAAAATCCGGTAATATCTCGAATCATGTTAACTGAACTGTGTGAAATCTGAAGGCATCAAATCCATTGAAAATAAAGCATGCATTACATTAAGCTTTGGAAACCTAAGCATAAAGATTAAATGTAACCCCCTTCTCAAGTTAACCATGTAATAAAAGTTCTTGATAATTTGAAAAGTATCTGAGTTTTGTATTTTTAGATGCTGCTAATCCGTACACAGAGAGATTTCTAGGGTTTTCTTTATATCTTTCCGATGTCTCAAATAAAAATAGAGGTCATTTATGTTTTCATGATACAACATATACAAAAGCTACTATTCCGGCCGTCGCCAACATTAGTTGCCCTGTACACGGACAATTTGTCATCTATTACAATGAAAGACTTGCAAACACAGTTTATCCAGTTGGATATTCTACAAACGCATTTGCTGAACTTTGTGAAGTGGAAGTGTATGGTGAGGCTTTATGTAAAATAAGCTTATTTAATAATGTAAAGTATAATTATCAGACGTAACTGTATGCATGTACGTATTAACTCATGTTATTTTTATTAACATCTGAAAAGGTTGTTCTGATCCTCGACATTATGGTTTAGATTGTTCCCTCCCTTGTCCTACAAATTGCAAGCAGTACTGCCACATAGAGTCAGGGAATTGTTTGGCGTGTAAGCCTGGCTATAAGGGTGAACGTTGTGAACAACGTGAGTTTCGTATTTTAATTTATTTTCAACTGTAACTGGCTACTTATACGTGCACCTTGACCTCTTTGTATTATTACGATGCACTATGAACTTCTTCGCCGTATGTGTCTTATTCACAATTTCCTGAAACTCAGAAATTTATACAATGGCACGCATGTAGTATCGGGAGGAAGGGGGACTCCCTTTTCTACCAAACGTAACCTCTTACCATTGAAAGTGTTCATTTGAGGGCTGGTGGTACATGTAATTTGGTAATGTATAAATAAAATTTGGTTGTGAAAGGAAGTTGGAACCTACTCCCCTCCACCCCCACCCCCACATACGAAATTAAATTTTCGAGGTAAGACAATTTCCGATTTCTTTTTTTTTTTTTTTGGGGGGGGGGGGGACATGGCAAAGTCTTTTTCAGTGTAGTTGTCATTTTTTTCCGACTGTCCCCTCCTTTCAAAAACGATACAAAGTGCCGGAACGACGCTTCCATTTATCGACATACACTCTTATTGCAATTTTGAGCAAGCATAAAATCTGCATAAAAAGTTTTTTTTTTATTTAACATAAATGTCCTAAAAATAAATACAGTAGAAAGAAATGATATATATGTAACTTTTATTAATCATTCATATTTGTTTGTTATATCAATACATTTAATAGAGTGTGGTGATAGAAAATTTGGAGAGGCCTGCAGTAAGGATTGTGGTGTCTGTTTGGATTACCAACAGTGTGACCACATAAACGGAATATGCCCTGCTGGATGTGATAGGGGTTACGTTGGAACACTATGCAAAGATGGTAAATAGTTTACAGCTTCCTTACACTAGTTATTTGCTTTACACAACTGACAGTTAATTGTTGCTGATCACCTTTTTAAAGGTTATAATACTTGCCCAAATTCATTCTTATCAAAAAATATTTTTAAATTTGAGATTGAATTTTACGTTTTATTTTTCATAGAATGTCCTTGGGGTCTTTTTGGAAAGAATTGTTCAAAAAAATGTGGAAGCAAATGCAACGGATGTAACAGAATGAATGGATCATGTGACTATGGCTGTCATATTGGTTGGAGGGGGACATTTTGCAACGAAAGTATGACATAAACGAATTGTTTAGTTTTCAGTTGTGTTCAGCTTAATACATAAACTCTCAAATGAGCACACTTTTAAAATCTTTCGATTCAAAATGCCTTTCCTAAAAAAAAATTACATTATCAGAAATACGATGATAGCATCAATCAATCGATCAATACGTTTAAGGATCAGATTTTAGATATTATCAAAGATTGTAAGTAAAAGCTTTTAAGTGATGACAATTCTTCTGCAAAATATTTTAACGTATTTATTTCATATAACATTTCAGGGACATTTTTTTTTCTATACAAATACATACAGTCAAAGATTATTTCAATTCGAACATTTCTCTATCCATTTCGAACAAAACAAATTTATTTTATTTGAAGAAACTACACTATTTTTTTTTTTTTTAAAGAATGCTTATATCGAGGAATTATAGACATAAGAAATTGTAGTACCTCATTTACATATAAATATTTCGTTCTCTTGTCAAAATTTCAGTGAACTTAATTGACACACATTCGAGTGTTCATTTTGCATATGTTGTCCAAAATTATCCAAAAAACATCTTAACTTACCTTTTCTATACATAACCTTGCTAATGTTCGTGTATTTTAATGAGTACTTTAAATGAGATCACATTGAATAAATGTTAATGTTAATAATAAATGTATTACTAAACATTCTGTAGCCTGCAATGATTTGAAATATGGAGAAAATTGCTCACACAACTGTGGATTCTGTTTGGACGGAAAACAATGCCATCACATAAACGGAAGTTGTCCCGAGGGGTGTGGCCCTGGTTATCAAGAAACATTTTGCCAGAAACGTGAGTTTCATAAAATATCCGTCATTCTTTTTCTTATTTGTTTACTAGCTTTTTGACATAAGGCACATGGATAATGCAAATAAATAATAAGAATCACATTATAAAAGCACCAATAAACGTTACATCAAATAAATAGGGATTGATTTGTTAATTTGTGTACTAACAAATATAAATATTGTATCCGCCCATTACAACTCTTTCGCCAAATAACAGACATATATGTATACCTTTTAATGTTATCAAGTCTTGATTGGTGATGATTTCAATTGCATGTAATTGTAACTGCCTTTTTTATCAATATACTTTATACATTGATGTACTGAAGTACATGTTTCGTCGGTAAATGCCAAATTTCTGGAAGTAGCATTATGGTGATGAGTTTGTATATCATAGCGAAAAAAAAAATAACGCGCTATTTATGTCATAACAATCACAGAGACTAACACAAAAATATCTATTTTATCAGTGAAAGGTTATTGAAATGTAGAAGAAATTATTGTACAAGATCATATTATGCAGTTGTAATAAAAAGCATAAATGCTTTAAAAAGAGAGCATAAAAATTCATTTCCCTCTTTTGGTGTGTCCTGTTTACTGATCGTTATTTAAAAGGGAAAAAAAGAAGATAGCTGTGTAATGTTCACTAATATTGATAATAGTAAGAGAACAGTAAACAACCAATATAAAAAGAATGAGGTTTCTCCCGTATCCCCTGTTATGGATAGTAGTTAATTAATTTAAATGTAACATCCTCTATCATTTCAGCATGCTTGTTAGGAACCTTCGGTCAAAACTGCAAAGAAAATTGCTCGAAAAATTGTGCCAAAACACACAGATGCGATTTCAAAGATGGAGAGTGTGAGGGTGGATGTAAGCCTGGATGGAAAGGCTTACGCTGCGATACTGGTAGAAATAAATGTTACATCTTTGTGAGCTCATCATATTTCAATATAATGAAACTACATCCCAAATTTGTATCTAAGAAGTGAGACTATTAGTAAAATCCCTTTTTAAGCAAAAACAAGAGACATTTTAATATTGGTTTGAGTGGGTCTTTTTCATGGCCGTTTTCTTTTTTTCTTATAATTATTACACTTTTTAAATTTAATTATTTATATATTTTTTATAGTGTAATTAATTATATTTATTAATTGTTTTTTGTATTGCATACACATTGTTAAAAAAAGCCCATTCAATTCTCTGTTGAAGCACAATAATATCTGTTACTGAATAAATAAGAACACCGATTTTTTTTTTTTTTTTTTTTTTTTTTTTTTTTTTTTTTTTTTTGAGGGGGGGGGGGGTAAATTTATTTTTTATCTATTATTACTACTTTTTGTACCAGTTTGTTCGAAGAACACTTTTGGTGAAAATTGTTCTCAGTCTTGTGGTAAATGCGTGAACAACACCTGCCATCATATTAATGGGTCGTGTAAACATGGATGTCAACTAGGATTTGAAGGATACTTCTGCAAACAAGGTGATACTTATATTTCAAATACTATGTTTAAAATAAATGGGATAAGAACAGAAAATAGGAGCATGCGTATATTGATCTTCTTCCTAGTACGTTTTCTACGATTCTAGTACACGTAAACCTATACCCTTTTTTCTGTTTAAAGTTCACATGGAAAATTTCTCCCATCTCAATGATAAAGAGCTAAAGCCACGAACCATCATATTTGGCCCTGTGTTTTTCACAAAAAAAAAGTTTCGGTTCAAGAAGAGTACTATACGTTAAATGTTAGAGGACAACATTCCTCTTTTCCAAACATAACTTACTTCTTATATAATGCGCCGTTAAACACGTGCAACGGTTGGAAAATGCGACGGTTTCATGAAAACGTTAAAATATGCAGTTTTTTTCGACAGATTTTCCCAAAGTTAGATGTGGCCACAGTCAAGAACAACTTTTATACTTCCCATAGATATAGATATTGCCAATACAAATCTTCATGTTTATTATCGTTGTTGTTCGTGGCTGTGGCCAATACGAAATTTAATTTTATATTTAAATTTTGATGGATCAAATAATCACTAATTTGTGGATCAATTGTTTACATTCAATTCATGTAATAATAAAAAATTATAGATTTCACAAAATTTGCTAGAAAATCAGTCTATTGTTCATTAAAACGCTAAATGTGAAAAAGAGTCAATTATATACATGTTCTGATATAAATATCTGGAAAAACTTAGTGGTTTTTACTATGACTAGGTCATTATATATGACGTTACTAGTAGTACGTCAGTTGTGACGTCATAAAGGCTGTAAATTATTTGGGATGTTGCTGAAAAGTTTTTTTTTTTTAAAAAAACGCTCTCGAATAATGAAATTAAGATACTGTCCCTATTCACATGTATATGATTTAATTAAACCCAACGGGATGATACCATCAAATTATAAGTTATCAGAAATTCACGCCACGATGTTTTTTTCTTTACTCCCCCCCCCCTCCCCCCCCCCCCCGAAATAATTCACAATACTGTTGTTAACAGTGTTAACAGGCATGACTTAACTTGTAAACAAATTAATAGAGAGAGTAGCAAAGATATCACACTAGACCTTTTTAAAACAAGCGAAATAATAATGATATACATGTAGGTTGCTGTCCAAAGTGAAACTTTAAAAAAATGAAAGAAAAAAAAAGGAATGAAAAAAAAATACGCATTAACATATTTATCAAATTTCCGCACCGAAATCCACCTTTTTTATGTACATGCAGAAGAATCATCTCCATGGATTTACAAAATTCAGTTATATCGATGGCTTATACATGCTGATACAAAATAATGAATAGTTATAGTATACAGTTATGTGTGCACCGATATCGGGTTTCTTCATTTATAAACACTTGCACTTGACGAACCCGCGCCCGTGATCTAGAACAACAGAACATACCGGTATATTTTTAGTATGAATGTATATTTAGTAAGATCGAAGTGAGGATATTGTTGATCTTAATTATGTTAACTGATCTTGTCATCATTTGTGAAACATAATTCAATTATACCCCCAGTGAGAAAATTGCATTTAATGCCTATTCTTAGAACTCGGTATAAAACGTTCATTCATTTTTTGTACTGTGCTCCAAATATTTCATCGTAACTAACACAATTTGATTAAATAAAGTTATACTTCAGATCGTCAGTCAGTGAAAGGGTAGTGATTTTAAATCTATTTAGACAAAACATAAATTAAATAATAAGTATGATACATATAATTTACCCTAAACTTTTTATCTGTCATCATCTCTTCAGTGCGACTTTATTATTAATAGTATACGGTTTCGTTTTATCTAAGAATTCAGCGATGTGAAAATACAGAGAGAGAGAGAGAGAGAGAGAGAGAGAGTCCTTAGAATGTGTTTTAAAAAAACAAATCAATAAACCGGGAATATGAACTTTAAAACGTATGGTCGTAAGTTGATTATAGCTTGATTTTTTTTCTGGTGTGACGGCGCCACTGTTCACGAAAAAAAAAAAAAATCATAAAGAAAATTGAAAAACAAATGTACGGACAACTGTAAGTGCTTCTCTGAGTAAAACATTTTTAAGCAAACTTTTGTTGAATGAAATCAATCTTGCGCTAATTGTGAGACAATAAAACAAGGATAAATGAACATCTGTACATGTATTTCAATTATGATAGTGACCCACATATCAGCAATATCAATGCAGCTCTACTCTTTTTATAAACCATAAAAACCATAATGTGCAAATGAAATCGAAAGTGTGGATTTTACACAGTGGTTACGTATGAAAATAACGAAAAATTCCCAATGCTTAATTTTTTGGTACATTTACATGGAAAATAATCATACAATTTTCGCAGACTTCTACCTTTACAAATTCCTGTAGATAAGGTATTTGGGAGAAAAGTATTCGAATATTTTGCAAAAAAATTGGGGGGGGGGGGTTCCAGCAAATACCGTTAAATATATAATAATGGACAGTGACAAGTGATTTTTTAACAAATTTATTTTTCTTAAGAATGTTTTTTTTGAAGTTTACTCTACTGTATTCCATATTACTCCAAAGAAACTTACATTTAGGACTAGAAAGTTTTGATCAGTTCTGTTTACTTATTAAACCATTCTGATAAATTGCAAAATCCCTTTCCAATTAATCTAAAAATTTTCCTTGTTTCTGTATCGAAAACAATGTTCAAATTATTGTTACAAATGAATAAATGGATTAGAAACAAGTCCTTCCAACTTTTTTTTCCCTCCTCTTTTCCAAATAATTTAGATCTTTTACATGTCAAAATACTCTCAATATCGAGATCTAAGAATTTCGCATTGAAAGTCTCTTTCAGTTTAAAAAAAAATTTTTTTGCAATTAAACTTCTATCCAGTTATAGAATTAGCTCTTCAGTTTAGAAACATTCGTTTCAAGATCATTTCAGGTATATTGTCAATTATTTTTTCCTGACTGCCCCCTTCCCAACTTTGAAAAACGATACTACGAGCCTGGACGCACATGCCAAAGATCAGCTTAATATCGGAAGGCCTGTAGGGAAATATCCGGAAAACAAAGTTAGACAGACTATCAGCATTTGAAGCATGTTGTATATTGTTAAGCATCGCTTAAAAATGTGTTGAAGGGATATAAATAGAATGTTCCTTTTTAATATTATCATAGGAACCAGATAGGATGAAAATATTCCAAGACAGTAACACAGATTATTATACTCCCGTTTGAAAAGTGGGGATATACAGTGATGGGGGTGTCCGTCCGTCCGTCTGTACGTCCGTCCATTGCGCTTTGGGGTACACATCTCTTATCCGCTACTCCTCCTATACCACTCCATAAAATTTAATGATTCTTTCGCAGAATCTTTGTTACATAGTGCCATTGTGACCTGCTATTTCACTTTTGATCAGACACATATTTCGGGTCTCCCGTAGCAAAACATGGACTTTGCCATTATAAACATATGATAGGCGGGGTATCATTTTGTGAGCTCAGTGCTCACAGTACCGCTAGTTTTACTACATGTATCTATAAAATTCATTCAGTTAAACACGTGGTTATTATATTATCAATACTAGTTTTTATTCAAAGTCACATATTCATACATGTAAAATCGATCAAGGTAATTTTTCCGCCCTACGACGTTATGTTACAGAAAATGACGTTCTACTAGCATTTTCCTTTTAAAACACCACCCTACTTCAAACTCTCATTTTCAAAAAATATAATCGATATCGAAAAAAGAAAAACGACAAAGCAAAGCTAAAGGTCTTCACTATCAATTGACAAAAACCCGTTAATTTTTGAGACAGGGCCATTTTTGATGGTTCGTGGCTCTTGCTCTTTACATCATTAGGTAATGAGGGATGAGAGGGGGGGGGGGGTATTTTTTTTTTATAAACTGTAAGTTTTTTATAAAGTTTAATAAAGTATAAGTTTGTGGTAAACCCATTTTTTCTCTCTTAAGTTACATGCATAAAATTAATGATGTTACATTTTTAATGAATGGTAAATCTTCAGAAATGAGTTTCTGAAGCATAAAAAAAAAACTTTCATATCAGATTGTTTTTCCTCTTCCTCGGAAATTGATATAACCGACTAACACAAACTCTACTAAAATTATATATATATATATATATATATATATATATATATATATATATATATATATATATATATATATATATATATATATATATATATATATATATATATATCTATATATATATATATATATCCAAAGATAGCGCTACCTGATTTTTGGTTATGATTCAGTAGTAGTATAAAAGACTTACGAATACTGTGATTGTGTTAACTTTTAAGAATTCTATACGAATATCTTATATATCAAAAGAACAAACCAATTTCCCTTGTATCATATTTCTCGTGCATTTCTTTTACATTGTTCTTTTTTTCTTGAAGTGTGTAGAAACAACAAATATGGATACAACTGTGCAGAAGAATGCAGAAAAGAATGTCTTAATAACACATGTAGTCCTATTGATGGCACCTGTGAACTAGAGGTACAGTACTTCATAGAGTTATCACTAAACATTTTCCCCCATTCTGCTTACAGACAAAAATACATGTATATGTTTCGTTACTAAATTGCCAAATAAGTCTACATAATGTCGAAGACCAAATGAATTCAACGAACTGACTTCTTTAATAACTATAATAAAAAAACGTATATATGATCTTATTTGTCAATGTGCAAGATTTTATTTTTGCAATTCAGACACGCTGTATTGATTTAAACGTAAAAAAGGTAAAGAAATCTAAAATTTAAGGATCAATGCATTTCAATTAACAAATAAGAAGCTTTTAAAGCTGTTGTAAAAGTCAGGTACTTAAATCCTTATCTGAATATCAACATATCTTTATACAAAATCGCCCGATTGAAGTTTTAGCTTGATTATTGTTCGGTATATCCATACTTCCTGCTCATATCCAGTTAAAATATTTTTCATATTTCATATATTTATCCCAATAAGAAACTGGGAGGATAAGCTGAGCCATATGCCTTCAGAACGACAGATAAAGACGTCAAAATTTATTTCTCAGAATTTCCACTTTTTGTTTAAGTTAGGAAATGTAAATTGCCATCTGCATACAAACTTGATAATGCATTAATACAGTATCAGCGATATTGAATCTGATTAACACAAAAAAAATTGCAACACACTCAATTTTCACAAAAACTGAGATTACCCTTTCAGAAATTTGATACGAAGACCCACTCTACCTAAAAAATTAAAGTTTACTTACTTAAATTTTCAACAAGGTCTAAAGATTTCTAAGTCCAAATACCCTTGCTAAATAGGGAGAACTGTTTGCTATTTAAATGGCCGCGTATATGTGACTGCGTTGACATTTATTGAGGAAAGTGTTTGAATTCTCTGTTTTTTTTTGAGGGGGGGGGGGGGTCTTTATAATTAAGTAGAAATGTTGCTATAGGAATAAAAAAAAAAATACTGAAAATAACTCATATAAAGGCCTATTTAAGGTGAACACATTTACAGTAAATTAATTAAAATGCCGGGGGAAAAATGTAATAAATTTTGGAATAAGTATTTTCTAAACCCAAAGATCACCACTATCATTATACATGTATACATTGTAAACATTTTGATATCTACGCAATACGTGTTAACTCTCAATACACAGATTACATGATAAATGTCACTACCTGAAGATTAACTATTTAGTTTGTTTAGAATCTAGATATCATCATTTTGACAAATACTGCACATATACTTGATTTGTATGTTTAATTTTGTTTATACACAAGTCAGTTTCGTAGGAACACAAAATTGTTCAAACATAAAATATCATATTATTTAGCAAACCTTATGGCGGCTCTTTATAGCTGTTTTTAATGTTTTAAACATAAAACGTCTTTGTATTTTTCACAGCAAACCCAGGAAGAAAGTTCCATTCCTCTGATTGCTGGAAGCATATCCGGAAGTTTGATTGCTATTTTGGTGGTTATAATAGTGGTAGTGGTTGTTAAACGGTAATCTGCTCTGTTTTTCACATTTCAAATACAATATTTGCAATTTCTAGGTACTATTAAAGATGTCATGTATCTTCTACATTTAATTATATAGGTTAAGATCCGAGAAAAGTGATAGTGATGCTAGAAAAGCCAATAATAACCCTTTATGTAAGTAAAAGCTGGTGATACGTTTCGTGTGCTTCAAGAACAAGAGGGTTCTTTAAACAATAAAATTTGCTCATTTTTATTGATTGTAGACACAACCCAGAAATTTCAAACACATTTTAGCAGCATTGATTCACCAAAACCAGGGGAAAATTACGTAAATATTGAAATTGAAAAACCAGTCATTGTCCCCAAGAAAAGTAGCGAAGTTGATGTCGATGATGATGAATTAAAACACTCAGATAACCCTTATGGAGACCTATATATGAATGAAACGACTGTTCCTGACATTCCATTAAATCAGTTAGAGTCCGTGATTGCTGAAAAGAGGAAGAATGATGATGACGGATTTCAAAAAGAATACTTTGTAAGTTGCAGGAAAAAACATACATGCATAAAATGAGGGGAAAATTCGCAGGATGAATTTTGTAATTCCTTTTCCTAAAAACTAATCTTCGAAGATAGAGTAATTTTTGTTTGGCAAAAACAGATTGAATGTATCAATCATAACACAGTTTAATTTATTTAATTTTTTTTTACGTCTACTTAATTTTGTAAAATGCTTTGTGACTGCAGAATGTGTAAAAATAAATTATAATCCATGGAAATATTTTTACCATAACAATGAGCTATGCAAAATTAGTCTTCATTCATCAAAGAGCACTGATATGATTTATTGAGAAATGAAATTCAAGCGTTGTATTTGATTTACTTTGATTTTATTTACTTTTCATTTATTATAGTTATAAAGTTATTTGTAAAAAAGGGGCACGACATCTATTGGAGTGTACAAACAGAAGAAATAAAGATTGAAATCTACATATTGTGCAAACAAAATTTTATCAGATCACTTGAGAAGTTACTTAATTTTAAATAAAAGTCCCTCTCAACTAACACATCATCCTCAATAAACATACATCGTAACATTATTATACTTTTATTCATTTTTTGGTCGTTAAAACATCTTGGATTATTTTCTTCATTTTGACCAAATTGTCCAAGAAGTTTGGAATATCGATCCGGAGCCATAAGGATTAATCACATTTTACGAAATTTCTAGCATTTTGTTTTAAAATTAGTCATAAAAATTATGTGGAAAAAATGACTTTATGAGACAATTTAAACGCAGGCTAAAGGAGTTTAATGAACACTGTAACACTATTTTTAGTATGCAAAAGGAAATGACAAAAACATCATTTAAAATGGGTAGAATGCATTAATATTATACGAAGGAAACTTCGTTGAACTTCGCTTTAAAAGTTATGACACTTATGACTAATGACACAGGTTTTTCGAGATATATCTATTTAATACCTTAAACGTGTTCAAAGTATAATTCCTTAAAAAAAAAGCTACTGTATACAGGGAAATTTTCGCGAAGGTTTTATTTTAGCCACTTTCGCTCTGTTACTAGTGGGCGATTTTAAAACGGGACGAATAAAAAAAAAAAGACAGCATAATCTCTTGAGCAGATCATTGTATGGGCGATTTTAAAGCGGCTCATTTTTTGTGCAAATTTGAAAGGGCGAAAATAACAAATGCAAATAACTCTGTATACAGTATTTCTTTTACATCTTGCAGCGAGTGTAATATTTGATCAAATCTTTTCAGGGATTACCGTATGGGGAGCAACACAAGTGTGATGCTGGGAAGAAAGAGGAAAATATTATCAAAAATAGATTTAAGACTACATTTCCCTGTAAGTAGAATAAAGATGATTAACAAAAGATGCATTGCGCACTAAGTACGTTTTTTTTAATTGATCCCACTTTGTTTCATTTCTTGTGCGTAGATATTTTAACAATGTAAGCAAGAGCAACAGAATTATTATGTGAAATAAAGTAATATTGATCTGCAGAGCTTAACATGAAGCTCTTATCATTAATATTGAAACGTGTGGCTGAATTTAGAAGATTTTTGTAACTTTTGTTTTCACTGTATCTGTTTTTCTGGAATCCAGATGACCATTCAAGGGTAATGCTTTGCACAAAGCCAGGATCAGACTACATAAACGCCAACTATATAGAGGTAAACGCATAAATGCACCACAATCAAAGTTTGTACGTGTTTTACGCCCCTCTCCCCCTAACCAGATTATAATTTATACAGCATCCATTTAACTCCTTGATCCTTTTGGGGACTGATGTGGGATAGGGGAATTGGACTGAGTGTGTGGATGAGTTCGTAATGGGTGGGGATGGGGGTAATACAGGTTAAATGATGCATTCTTAACAAAAGTTCTTGATTTTTATGACAGTGGAAATTATTGCATGTTTTAGGGCGCAGAAAGGGAGAGAGAATACATTGCCGCACAAGGTATACTATTCCCTGATATCAATAATCACATCATTATAGCATTAGGTGTGATGCATTTGATGATATGGATAATATTCTCTTTAATCATTTTTATAAGGACTCTTCTTTCTTGTCTATCATCTGCGAAAATTAACATATAATGTACAATGCATAAAAAAAGTACTGAGCCTAATTATGTGAAGAAAAAAAAAATCGACAAGAAATTTATTGAAGATACAAAGATTAAGATTATGAACTTTTTTCGTCCTGTACTTCCTAGGACCAAAGCAAAACACTGTTGGTGACTTTTGGACGATGATTTGGCAAGAGAATGTATCTGTTATTGTAATGCTGACGAACCTGAGAGAAGGAAATAAGGTATAATTTCAAATATATGAAATCAATGAAGTGAAAAAGAATGTTTTGTTCTATTTCTTTTTATTAAACTGGGTCACTTGAATCTCTTATGCGACCTTTAATTTTCTGCTTGCTACGATCGTCGTGCATCATCTGCCCTGCGTCGTCCCTTTATCTTGTAAATTTTCAGCTTCTTCTTTGAAATAGTTGAACCGATTTCAACCATTTAAATATAGCATCTTTTGGATTGATTATATTGGCTCTGTTTTCTTGGTAATGCCATCAAAATAAATGCAATTTGACATGAAAGAAATCTTCACAGCAAACTTTTAACGCTCAGGCCAATGGCAACATCTTTTTTAACGCACATATACCTTCTTTTTTCGAGTTATACATATATTTTTAATTCATTATCAGCCAAAATGCGCTCAGTACTGGCCCAATCCAAACAAACACATCAACTACGGTACTGTGTCTGTACAGATGACTGAAGAAAAATCATTTGCATTCTTTGTTGTAAGAAGACTGTCTGTAAGCCATAAACAGGTGAGATTTTTTTTTTCAACATAAGGAAATACAATAATGCCTTGTCAAATGTTTTATTGCTTTACTTTATTTCCTTTCCCTCTTCTCTTTTTTTTTCTCTCAAAAGTAAGGGCCGGAATTCTAATTTCAAAATTTCAGTCCGACCAATATGTATTCATCATGACTCAAATTTGAAGCAATCAATGTATATGATTACTTATAGACTAACTATGTATTTTCAGACCAGAAAATCCCGTATGGTGACCCAGTACCATTACACCTCTTGGCCAGACCATGGAACCCCAGAGCCTCTCTGCCTTATCGGCTTCCTTGACCACGTTACCAGAACAGGAACCAATCAAAAGAAGTCACCAACGGTTGTACACTGCAGGTTATTTTTTTAATGTAATGTTATGAAAGATACACTACCCAAATCATTATTATTTACATTTCTATCGTGTCTACGAATGTGCATTGTAGCAACCTCTAATGATAAAACGCCGCTTAATGATACATATATCATTAAGCGTTGCAATTGCAACGCTTAATGCCTTAAATGATTGCATTAATAGCTGACATTCTCAACTGCTAATGCTAAATCGCCGCTTAATTATAGAATTGTATCATTAAGCGTCACAAATGCAGTGCAACATCGACGCTTAATGAAACAAGCAAATATCTACATAATTGGCAGTTAATGATACACACTAGTATATCATTAAGCGTTGCAGTCGCACCCTCTAATGATAAAAAAAAAAAATCGCCACCACCCACGCCCTCCACCAAACCGGGAATTTGACGTCATATGCATTGTTATTTGACTGGGTGAATGTGTGATATTCTTTTAATTTTTTTTATCTAGCATATTCATTTCTAAAAGATCTTTACTGGTGAGATATTTTACCGGTGTTATAGAGTAGGATTTCCCCCATAGCCAGCTCCCCCCCCCCCCCGGAAATTGTACCCTCGAGTAGGATCCCCCCTCCCAGGGGAAATCTCACACCAGAGCCAAATTTCCCCTCCTTTTTTCGTACTCAGAGTAGGATTTCCGCCCTCGTTATGGAGTCAATATAAACTACAACTGCAATATTTTTGTGAAAAAAGATAAACGACACGCTAACTTTTAAATGAAAAATGAATGTTTTTGACTTGTATACTGTTTTATTGTAGTTAGAATTTTCTTAGCATATTTTTTTCCAATGATGGAGTCTCAACCCGAATATTAAGTTTTCAAAAGAAATGTAAAGTTTCTCAGGTCGAAGCCTTTACACCTCTAATGGCGCAGCGGTACTTGAATCTGTCACATATCTTTAATGTGTAGTATATCAATTCTATCTAAAGTTTAAAGATTCAGTTTGTTTTCAAAGAAAGTAATTTATGTATACCTTTTACTACTTGTATGTTGTTTGAATCCAATGAACGAAAGAATTGTTTGAGTTACTGTCTCGTTAGAACAAATAAATTATTTTATAACGAGATAGTTATCTCCTTATAACCTTATAACCAAATATTTATCCCGTGAAAAGGATTTAATTATCTAGTTATATCGAGTAAGTAGTTATCTCGTTATATTATACATAACAAGAATAATATTTTAATGCTTTAAAAAATGGTTGGACAGTTGCTGAGAAAAGTGAGATTTAAAAAATCCATTTTTCATTCTTCGTATGTTTCAATATATCTGGATGGCCGTCACGGTAGCTCAGTCGGTAAAGCGCTCGCTCCCTGATCAAAAGGCCGTGAGTTCGAATCTCGGCAGCGACTGACCCGAGTCGATAAAAAAAAAAATAGATAGCAAATGTTCCTTTGCCAGGGGCTCGGCACTTTGAAGTGAAAGTTGTGGGTCCTTCGGATGAGACCTTAAAAATTGAGGCCCCGTGTCACGGCAGGTGTTGGCACGATACAGATCCCTCACTGCTCAATAGCCCTGAGTGTCGAGTAAAGGTGTAAATTTGAAGCCCTTCACCGGTATTTGGTGACGTCTCTATAACAGTAAAAAATTCTCAGACGGGACGTAAAACTACATACAATCAACCAATCAAAGCATCTGGTCACCATTTTGAAGAAGGGACACGTGTAACAATGTGTCGCTCTCTTCCCCCTCATAGCATAAGTACAGCCATAATATTTTATTGTGGGAAAATTGGCTCTGGGGGAAATCGCACTCTATAACTACCACATGGAGTAGGATTCCCCCCCCCCCCTCCCCAGAAAGTTGAATCTGGTGTGGGATTTCCGTAGGGGAAATCCTACTCTAGAGTCATTTTTTCGTAGGGGAAATCCTACTCTAGAGCCTATTTTCCGAGAGAAATCCTACTCTAGAGCCAATTTTTTCGAGAGGAAAAATTTTAGAGGGGAAAACCTACCCCCCTCCCTCTAATTAAACCGGATACTGTCGGTCTTATATAATTCGTGTGAATTTTCTTGCGATTTTAATCTTTTTTTTCTCATATCATATATTTTAACATGTGCAGATTTAGAGGAGGGGGGGGGGGAGGGGGGCATACCTCCCTGGAATTTTCAGAGTTATCAAATGTATATCCTAAAGCAACTTAAAGTGACCTTGGACCCACCCATCCTACAGAAAACGCGGACCCCTGTTAAGTTGGTATGAAAAGTCATACGAATGAAGCTTAAGGAGTAACGGCTACAACCCCCCCCCCCCCCCCCCACACACACACACACACACCGCCCCCATCACCACCACCACCACTATGAAATATAGGTTCTTCACACTTGGGAAAGGAAATAACGTTTTTTTGTTTTATCTTTTAGTATTTTTTTGTTGTCAAGAAATTTCTGGGTTGGGGGTTTTTTTTGGACTGGGGTGACCCCCCCCCTCCCGCCAAAAATTCCTGGATCTGTGCATGTTTAAGAATATTCAGAATGTAATTTACATCTTTAATACTTCGAGTTTGTTTAGAATGTATGTATAGCATAAGAAAGTATAATTTATATAATTTACTGCTGATAAAAGCAGTTTAAATTTAAGTTCAGAAGTGCACTCGCAAGACAATATCGTAAAAAAAAAAAATAATAAACCAGTGAATCCAAAAATACTCTACATCATGAATATGTATGTTTAATGTGCTACAGAAATGAGAATGAACATCGGAATCGATCCTACAGTGGTGACAGGTCACGATGCAGTGGTCAGGCGAACAAAAAATATATATGCAAAAGATTTTTTTTTTTTTTTTTTTTGCATTTAAAAGGCCATAGGCAATGCACATGCACATAAACTTTACAATATACTTTTTCTACTGAAAATTTTCCAAAAATATTATTAATTTAAGGATATCCGATCTTCACCCAGGAAGGATAACTCTTTAATTTATTATTTTATTAAAAGTCTTCAAATGAAGCTTAAAATTGAGATCTTTTTGTGCAACAATTTTCATTTTATGCATCTCAATATGATTCAAGGTTCTTTGAAGTCTCAGAAACAGTCTTGTAAAAAAATGACGTTTGTACCCCATAAAAGAAAATAAAAATAAATTCATTTTTAGAGAAATGGAATTTTTCTTAGTCTAGCATTGGATACCAATGCTTATTAGCATAATAGGAAATTGGATGTGATATGTGATGTCTAGCAATGATAGCACAAGCTTTTTACATTATATATTGTATTATAATTGATAAAAGAGAAGATTTAAAAAAATATAAGCATAAAAAAAGATGCAATTTTCTCCAAATGCCTGGATATCTATATTTTTCTATCCTAAATTATATTTGTTGATCAATTTTCAATTAGAAAATGCATAGCTGGTATTTTTATTCGCATTTCCTGAAAATATATTTGAGAATCGATAATTTTTCCTATATAATATGATTAACAATAATTATGAACTTTGAAGAAATACCATGGGTAAATTCACGTTACTATGTGAAATCAGAGACACTTTTGTGAGCATTTTCCATTACTTAAAAGATGATTTTCAGAACCTGAGGATCGGACTACCTTAAGTTCATACAATTAGTACAATCAGATTTTCTTTTAGTTTTTAAAAGAAAATTTAACAAAAATATAGTGTTAGCTGGTATTTTTATAAATTTGATTCAGAGGAGGTGTACAGCATTACCAGGCATTAAAAAATGCGCAAAGGTTCTTCAATTATTAAAACTCTTAAATTATACAGGGAATAAGAAATTAAAAGTTGATAACTACGTTATTTCCTTAAGGTAAAACTGTTCTCTCCTTTCCCTCTTTTTTTTCTATGTCACCTTGAGTTCTCCCTTTTTCTTACACCTAGAATATGGAAATGCCCATATAGCAGAGCCAAATTTAAGTTTGAAGGCTATTGCAATCCGGAAAATTCTTTCATGAATTTCTTATATCTGTGGCGTATCTGAGTAAATTAGACAGACTAAAAACAGAGCATTGTAATTTTAACAACTGAAAATACAACTTCCTCTTGCGATCCATTTCAAATATTTTAGGAAAATCCTCCCTTGGAACCTCGCGCATAGGTTCAGAATCTCTTATTTTTGGCCAGTACGCATTTTTCGATACGGTTGTGGGATGGATATATGCTTGATTTTTTTTTTATAGAAAATAGAAAGAATGTTTTTGTTGCAAATATGAAATATGAGAGCTTCAAGTTTGTTGTCAATTAAAGCCAAAAATAAGTATCAAATAAGCTAGTCAAGAAGAGTCACTAAAACCTTTTTACTTGATATGAATGAATATGATTGAATGATTGATTGTATATTGTTTAACGTCCCATTCGAGAATTTTTCACTCATATAGAGACGTCACCATATACCGGTGAAGGGCTTCAAATTTTGACCTTTACTCGGCACTCAGGGCCATTGAGCAGTGAGGGATCTTTATCGTGCCAACGCCTGCTGTGACACGGGGCCTCGGTTTTTAAGGTCTCATCCGAAAGACCCGCAACTTTCACTCCAAAGTGCCGAGCACATGGCGAAGGAACATTTGCTACCTATTTTTTATCGACTTAGGTCTGTCGCGGCCGAGATTCGAACTCACGACCTCCCGATCACGGAGCGAGCGCTCTACCGACTGAGCTACCGTGAAGGGTGAATGAATGAATATGAAATAACAGTGAGTTAGCATCTTTTTGGGTGGGCAGAAGAGGGGGGAAAGGGGGGGCAGCGAGAGGAAACAAATTTCAGCTTACCTGACAACCAAAAAAAGGGGGGGGGGACTTGTCCAATGTCGAAAATTGAAAATTCTATTTCGTGGGGGGGGGGGGGATTCTTTCAGTATCATTTTTTTTTCATACATTACTACCCTTATTTGACTATGCTTCAACAAAAGCTGGGGAGGCACAAGCCTTTCAATGAACATTTTCAAAAGTAGAAAGTTATCTATGGGAAAAAAGGGCAGCCCCCCATCCCCCGATGCTACGTGTCTGAATAATTTTGTAATACATGTACTTTCTTAATCTGTGGAAAAAAATGTTACAAAAACATTAAAGTAATAACTTACAATCATATTTTATAAAGGTATCATGTGTCATCTTAAAATTTACTAATTGGAAGTAAATACAAAATTAAAACATGACAACAGCTATCGTGTTCTAAATTTTATATTTACTCCCACCCGGTAACTTCATGAATTAGAACAAATCAGAAAAAAAGATTTGAAGAGAAATTGCAATAATCGAGCCTAACCCGAACTAAATTAAATGATCCGGACTCGAAATATAATTAACAATTTCACTTTCACAATAAAAATAGACTTTTTAGCTGCAATATATTTATAAATAAGTTTAACTTATTAAGCAAGTTGATTTCTCATTGTTAACTACATCAGAATGATAAAATTTGCTGATGTTGATTTTATCGTGTTAATTTCAGTCGGGTTGAAAGTGCAAATTGAACATCAGATTTTTTAATCAAATATCTCAATTAAATCAATTTGAAAAGAAGAATTTCCCAACATTTGTTTTGTATATGAAAAAAAAACCCTTATTTAATGTCTTCTTTTATATTATAAAATTGGAATTGAAATAATTTGACGTCTTTCAGAAAACTATCGAACAATCATACTCTCTTCGAATGTAGGATGCTTAAATTTGCATGATGTATGTCTTTTGTCGGATGGCAGAAATTAAAAAAAAAAAAAAAAAAGAGTTTATTGGTCTGTAGACACGACTATAAAGGGTTGGGATGTGGATAAAATATACAGATTGGTTAAAAGGTGAATAGAATAAGAGAGTAAAAGTTAGCTGATTGACAGATCATATTTCAGAACAGGATCTGTAGCGACACGGTCAAAGACTAAAATATAAACCATAACGCTACACATCTGCAATACAACAAATACTGAAATTTAAATACATGTGCTAAGAAGTTTAATTTTGAACCAAAAGTCTAGGTCTGACTTATAAATTTTGAACTTTTATTGGAGAAGAAATATAGTAATATTGAAACAATTCGTACCTTAATTAGTGGTAATTCCGAACTTTTTAATTTGCTATTATATTAAGTCATATAATAAAATAATGATCTATTCTTTAGCGCGGGGATTGGTAGAACGGGGACGTATATAGCATTAGACGTCCTGAACCAGATAGGAAGAAAGACAGGAAAAGTAAACGTAGCAGAATATGTCAAGAAGATGAGAGAAAACAGGATGAATATGGTCCAAACCTACGTAAGTTCTGATTAAATACACTGAAAAAGAGCTTGAGTTCTCTGTATTAAAGTCAAATGAGTCGTCATCTTTTCTGTTCTTCTGATGTCATACTTTCATACAGATCTTAAAATTAAAAAGTAAGAAAATTTTATACTTTTTTTTCAAGAAATCCAGACTAGACATCTATGCGGAACACAATGGAGATATTTTTAATCCATGTTCTTTGACATATATATAACCGCATATCTTAGACTAATTGGTATTGCACTATAATTCGACAGAAAAATCAAACAAACATACAAACAAACAAATCAAATTAGTATATTGGAAAGTCGCGAACTAATTCGGTAAATTATTTAAAGCGAAATATAAATCAATAAATAGATAAAGAAAAAAAAATGCAAGCACATGGGTGGAAAGGATAAAACAATACAGTTATTGCACCTCTTAAAACATGCATAAAAAGTCTAGAAGTACTTGTATGGGTTATGTCCGATTGTCATGATATTAAAGCGATATCGAGGAGACAAGGTCAATCAGCAAACAGAACATGTAAGCAGTGAAATAGCAGTTTGTCTCATTTCTATGCAATTACTCTTTTTTTTTTCTTCCAAAATCTCCTTTTTAGAGGGGTGGTAGGGGGGTTCTCATTATACGTAACGTGGCACTTTTAACAGTTTAAGGTATTCGACCCATAATAGCCTCAGATTCAATGAATCTGAATGCATTAGGGATCTATATTGGCTGAAAACTAAGTATATTTAGACATAATCTTCATGTTTTAGTATCAATATGTAAGAGCGGAAGGTGTCCTATTTTTTGACCTTGACCTGTCCTTGAAGAGTTATCCCCCTTTGTTTTTAATCAATAAAAATCAATTTAAAAAATCATTAAAAAAATAGTTTTCAATCCTTTTTATATTCCTAATAATTCAATACATCTTTCCACCATAGCATTTACCGATATTCTCAGTATTTCAATTTTTATTTTCAAAAATTTGCTTGTCCCCATAGACCTGAATGCAATCTTCATCAATCAATTACTGCTTAGGTAATTACATTTTTGAAAATTTCTCTTGGTAAATCCTTTTCTACTTTACATGATGGATATTAAAGATTAAAAAACTAGGTCCTAATTATGGGTCGGATACCTTAAACAATACAATTGATTTATATTAAAAAAAACCCATAACGTTTGTTTGTTTATTTATATGTTTTGCAGGAACAATACATCACCATTTTTCTTGCGTTAAATGAAATATTCAAATCCCCGGTGAATACCATGACGATTGCTGACTTTACTAAAATGGCGGAAAATATTGCATCTGACAAACCTGTAAACCACAGTGCGCTTCGAAAAGATTTTCAGGTAAAAAATAGAGATACGATGTACGTAAGATATTTTTTTTTTATTTCTTGTCTATAAATGTATAAGTGAAGAAAGGTTTATTTCAAATATAAATTAAAGTTTGAAGGTTGGCATTTGCCATCAGTTCATTTTAGAGAAGGTTTGTGTTGACAAAAATTGATTAAAGGAGGAAAATACATTGTTGTAAGATGGTAATAAGTAAAGAAGAATAACTTTGGTGAACATTGAATATCAAATGTGTGCAAGTGTGCGAACGAATGTTAAGCAGCTTTTTGAAAGAAATAAACATAAAATGAAAGACCTTTCTGTTAATTTTCTGAGTATGAAAAAAAGGAAGTACAATGTCAATTGTAAGCTGTTCTAAAGATTGCATTAAAAAAAAGAGAAAGAAATTGATGTTGAAATCCTTATTCGTTATGCATTATGTATTTATTCATCTAGTTACTGATGAAGATACGCCCTGCCTACACAGAGTCTGACTACAAGTTAGCTAATCAGAGCTCGCGAGGTTTACACTCCAATGCCATATTACCACGTGCGTGTTCATGTAGTCTAATTTGTGTATATATCATTTGAATACAGTTTAGAAGAGTTACATTTTTATTAAGTTAATATTTCTTTTCTTCCTGTTGATGTATTTTTTAAAATATTCATTATATATATCAGACACCTTTGGTATAGCTTTGAAATTTTATCAGTTATTTTCTTTTTTTCAAACAGTGGACAAATATAGCCTCCACCTTTCATCAATTGTACCGAGACGAGGCAATTTTATCAATGCTATATGTGTACCAGTAAGTCCACTGTACAACTAAGTCAATGAATTAAATTTAATTTCCATTTATCATATCTAAATAATAAACGACAATCTTGTACTCATGGAAAAAGAGAAGAGAATCGTATATTCCATTTTAATGTAAAATATAGGTTATTGAACGTACTAATCATTTTTAAATACTCTACGTCATGCGTATCTTGAGCATATATTGGTATCAATGATAAATATGAGTTATGTCACTTACAGATTTTGAATAAACATTATTATGATCAGTCTTATTTTCCTCTCAGATCTTACTTTTACCTCGCTTCTTTAATCCCTTTCGCTGAAAATAAAAGCACAGCATCAACTTACCTAGACAAGACAATCCAATATTCATAAGGGATTAAAACATATAAAATTATTGACACAATATGGGTATTTTTTAAAGTTTCTAATGTTCTAAACACACTCCATATATCTATGATCATAGGCACCGTAAACTCAATTTTTATAATTAAAATTTCCCATTACTTTTCAAGCAATTGCTTTATTCGTCCGTATTTAAAATATAATAATTTCTTTTTATAGCTTTGATGCTGTGGTATTGAGACATATTTAAATATTTCATGGGTCAAGATCATTCCGGTTGAAAACAAATTAGAAAACACTTGGTATTCTATGGGATTTTGATTTTGTTGCTCTCGACCATAATAAAGACATTACAGAATTGGAAGTTGTTAATTGTGTCTAAGGGTAAACTTTAGTATCAGTTTTAAACTACATTTAATGTATTTCTCAATAGTCGTTTGTCAACAGTAGAGGATTCATAGTGACGCAATATCCATCGACAGAGGACGCTGTTGACTTCCTGCGCCTGCTCAATGATCATGAATCTGACATTGTCATCTGCATGGACCCACTTAATGAGATTGAATCGGTAGGCAAATGCTCAAAGTATCATACTTCGATATTTAGGATTATGAATTGCTCTAATCAGACAATGTTTAATTTGAAAACTATATATTAAATGTTGTAATTTTATACAAATTCCTGTCAGTACAATATATATTTGTAAATGATTGAATGTATTGAAATCCAAGACATCTGTACTATCTTTACGATATGATTTCTGAAAATTTTAATCATACATTGGCTTATGTTTCTCAACTCTCAGCCGTATCTATTTTCAGAGCAAAGCATGGTTGCCAAGTCCCTCTTCCTATAAATCAGTCCCTCCTTTTACCGTTCACTGTCAGTCTAAATCCGGAACTGACGTCAGAAATACCACCATTCACATCCTCCAGAAAAATGTGATTAGAAGCTAGAGCATTCATTATGTATATGCATAAACATTTTGCAAATGAAGTAACAACAAAAAATCTAGGAATTGACATTCAGTATCAAAATCAATGTTTTATGCAGGAATTCCTTTGCTTTTAAATTCAAAACAATTCTAACAAAATAGCGATTCGTGATTGAAAAGCTTGATCAATCAAAGCAAAAATATTTTCTAAGAATTTCATTTTAGAGTGAAGAGGAAGCTCATTCAGTTACGATCTTAGAACCACAGATCTGCATTAAAACATCCGAAAACTCTCAAAACACTTTCCAACTTAGAAGTTTGGTATCTGAGGCTTTAAACCTGAAGACAGAAAATCCTATTACGATCTTCAGCAGGTTTTGTTTTCAGTTAAAATTAAGCATTTTAATGGACAATTGAGAAAGAACTGATCAACAAACTATATTTATGTATAGTTATTTAAAAATCAATCATGCACGGCATTGGAATCTGTCTGACCATACTTTACTTGAATAATTTTGGTTCAGGATATGTAATATTCACATGATTGGATTAAAGTTAGCTGGTTGTTGCAATACATCTTTTTCCCCTTATACATGTATTTTTCTTTAATTAGTGATGGAGCGTCTCTGTGTGGTGTTTTCTGTGCTGTCTATAACGTGATACAACAAATAAACATGGAAGACAGAATTGATGCTTTTACTGCCGTCAGACAGCTACAAGTTCGAAGACCAGAGTTTTGCTCTAAACTTGTAAGTCATTTGAATTCATATAGTGTTTCTTTTATCATTATTAAATCATTAGAGTTTAATCTTCCTAATCTAAATTCTCTCTTAAAAATCTAAATTAGCAAAATATGTATAAAAGATAATATATGTTCATAGATAAAACTGTAAAATATGATGTTCTGTTGGGACCACTCGCTCCTTCGTACTCTCGCCTTTAGGCGAAATTGTGAGAGTGCGAAGTTGCGAAAGCAAAAAAAGCTAACTTAATTGCGGAGATGCGACGGCGAAGATGCGCAAGACAATTAGTGTTGATGATTACCTTTAGTGTTTGTACACTCGTATGAGCTTACATGTATTCCTTTTTTTTCTTTCAAATGGCAAATCCTGTCTTCAATTAACTGCTATTCTTTCCTGGAAGTATGACAAACCTCCTCTAGTTTCGAATTCTTAGTGTCTCCGTACAAAAAGGTTTTGAAAATAATTAACAGAATGTTAAGAACCGAATCGAATTATATATACATGTAACTTCTTAGACTTTTGTCCACCTCATCGTGATTTTAAGTAGGTATTTAATTACTTTACTTCACTTAATTACTAATGTCTGCTACCCCTTTTGGGACATAGGCAGCTTACAAGATTCCTCCATGTCCCTCTATCCTGAACAATGCTTTCTACCTCTTTCCAGTTCTTGCTCATTCTTTTGAACGTCTACCTCCAAATCTATCCGCAAGGTGTCGATTTCTTGAGATAAGAGTAAAATAATTGAAATTTAAGGAATATTCTATTTAAGGTATTTGACGCATATTAGGACCTATCTATCCTTAAATATCCATATAGTATAAAATGCTCAATATTATTTCAAAGCATTTTAGAGAAGAAAAAGATTTAACAGGATTTTTTTTTTTCAAAATATGTAATTACCTAAGCAGTTATTAACTACTAAAGGGTGCAATGTGGTCTATAGGGACAAGCAAATAATCTTGAAAAATAAAATATTAATTCTTAGATTATCAATAAAAACTGTCGTTGAAAGATCCATTTAATCATTAGGAATAAATAAAAAAAAAAAAAATGAAGAATATTTTTTTCACCAGATAGATTTTGTTAGAGTTGATATTTTTTGTTAATAAATGCAAAGGGGTTAACTCTTTAAAGACAGGACAAGGTAATATATTAGGACATGTTTTGTTCTTACATACTAATACCAAAACATAAAAATTAAGCATGGATATTCTTAGTATCCAGTCCATACATATCTGTTATGCATTTAATTTCATTAAATCTGAGGCTATTATGGGTCGAATACCTGAAGATGTCAGTTAGAATGTGATTACTTTTTTTTCGTTAGGAATTATTTATTAGTAGGAATGTAAAATCATGTATTTTTTTTTCTTCAGGATGAGTATTGTCTTGTCGTTAAAACTGTTTATGACTACATTCAGAGTTCCACGGAAAACATGTACTGTAATCAGTTGAACTGATGAATCACAATGGCAGATTTCTGAAAGTTCTGTTACGTCACGATACAATAATACCGAAATTTGCCTCTTTGCAAATCACTTTAATAACATTTCACAAGATTCCACTTTATTATGATATTTAGTTGTTTGTATCTTTTTTTTAATATATTTCATAAAATTTCTACTTCAATTATTATGTATATCCGTTTATATATTTGTCATTTATTTGTTAACATATGTATTACTTATATTTTCATGATTTTAGTTTTACAATTATGTCTATTCATCTTAACCAATGGGATCAATTAACCAATTGGAATCAAGTACAAGTGCAAATAGCAATTATTGGACGTTTTGAAAGGCTAAACATTCAAAGGTGTGTTTATTAAAATTATCAGCAAATAATCGAGATACATCGTTTATCCTACACAAGAAGGCTTACTTTAATTGAATTATTTGTACAGTATATTATGAGCGTTTTGAAAATGTAAATAAATATAGATATATTTTGTTCCATATATTGTTTTACAACTGACCTGAAAATCTGAAAATATCATGGAGCCTGTAGTATGCTATCAACGTGGAAAATTGAATGTTTACTCTTAAGTTAATTTTTGGCTTAAGATGTTATATTTCGTTTTTATACCCCCGCTTTAAATTGGAATCAATTGAAGCAATTTCATCATTCTATACATAGCTGCAAATCAACGATATTTCAATGAATTCCTGATCAAGATAATTCACAATACGATCATTTGTTCAACTTATCCAATGTGGACGAGATAAAAGGTCCACGCGTTTATGTATTCCTAATTTTAATAGGATTGTGTTTTGTTATGCAACTCCCCTGAAATAAAAGGATAATAAATGTGGTTACAACAAAATAAAACGGACTGTTAAAATTGCATCTGTTTTTTTCTTCCTTATGTATAACTTGATTTCTACTGAGAAAAAACTAGCTTTTTTCATGCCGACAAATTCGAATCATAACTTTTAGCTATATTTGTATTTTGATGTATTGATGTCTGCTAGATACGAAAACTTCTAAGATGAAATTTCCAACGGTTTTGAACATTTTTATATATGTATTTAAAATGATACGTAAAAAACTACAATACATCTTAAATTCTGATTAGCAGTAAAATACATACAAGTACCTATCTTACCTATATATATATATATATATATATATATATATATATATATATATATATATATATATATATTAAAATAGAGTTCGTTATAAATGTCTTGCCTTTTCTAAGTTCTTTGCCTATATAGTACTCGGGATTTGACTTATATTACTTATATTACAGTTGCCAAAGAAAATCATCATATGCCGTCTGTTGGATAATGTATACATAAAATAATTAAACTAATTGGGTTTATCATGCTTTGTCTGCAGAAATATCCTACTTAACGTCTGTAGTGATTGAATTAGTATCGGATGAGTTACTTAAAGTGGTCTTGCTAGTGGAAGATTTTCAGCAGAAAAGCAAGCAATGCACAAATATAAATTATACTTATCACTTCTTTAACATTTATTGTGCATGTATAGATGAAAGCATTCATGGTTCAATTTCTTTTAATGTTTGTACAGTACTAAGCAGACACAATTTTACAGAAAGCTGACCCCAATTGAACCCCGGATTCGCTCGGGGTCCGCTAAATGTGACCTCGAGCGAACCCTGAGCACACTCAGAGCGGACCAAAAGCGATCGCCGAAAGCAAGCCCGATTTCAGTAGCGCACCTAGAAAGCGAACCCGTCGTTCGCTACTACGTTACAGAACTGCAAATCAGGATTACGCGATTACCAATCAGCGCGTAGACCAATCGGCATACCGGTTTGCACTTCGTTGTAAATGAAAACATTGTACAATGAGCCATGCGTGTTTATGTCCAATTTAGATTTAGTATTACTAATATTATTAAAATTTTTAATTATAAATCTCTACGTAGCATGACATATTCTGAAAATTATATATTTATTTATTTTTTTTTTAATTTTCATCAATTATTTCTTTTTTTAAAAAAATCGATTAAAACATGTACAGGGATTTTTAGTCATACATTATACGAATTTTTCTTTTCAGACAGGTTGTGTTAAAACAATATATATATATATATATATATATATATATATATATATATATATATATATATATATATATATATATATATATATATATATATATATATATATATATATATATATATATATATATATATATAAATTAGGCCATCTTTAAAAATTGTTTGGTTGTTTTCTCACAACCGCCTGGCTAATAACGGCCTGACTCTAAACTTTTCTAGCCTCCAGGAAACAATTTTTTTAATACATCCCACAAAATAAATGTTGAAAATTTCCCCATAACTACCGACTTAATTTTTTTAACCCAATTCGGGTGGACAAATAAACAGTATTTTAAAGTTGGCCTTATATTTTATTTATTAAGAAACATGTTTTGATTCAATAATTCTTTGTTTCCTTTATTCTATTATTTCTATTCACATTTCAAATTGATCTTTTTCCCGTCTACATGAAAAAAAAAAATAAAATAAATAAAATATTTAATTCTTCTTATGGACTTTTGCGAGAAGCACAGATTTTTACAGTTGACGGCTTACTTTGACATTTAAACCTGCTTTATGTTCGGAGGTACGGAATTGATAATAGATAAGAAAACCTTAATAGTGGTTATAGGTATTTTGCTTGGGGCACTTACATGATTAACTGCTATGCAATCAGCGCAAGAGATGATGGGGGGCTGGATAACATAGCTTTGATTATTTATTCGTGAGGGCTAGTATCTTCTTTCAAACTCATTTTCTGAAGGAATCAAATAAGGAAGAAAAAACATTCCGGAAGGAAAACTAAGCAAGAGTTGGTCAATGTGGGAAGGGAGGGGAGTGAGGGTAGGATGGTTCCCGTTCCCTTCCTAGACAACGCAATATGTGCTTTAAAATGGCCACTTATTATCGTTTAATCAACTGTTAAGCTTAATATTTATATCGCAAAACAGCTTCCGTATACTGTCCTAGTTTAAAAGTAAGACGTCGATTGTAAAAGTCGGTGCTTCTCGCAAAAGTTATATACATGCACATATATGTACGTACATCAAGAAAAAGAGAGGGGAAAAAAATAGATCTATTCAGGTAGTCCGATCTTCAGGTTCCGAAAATCAGGATTTGGATAACTGAAAATGCTTACAAAAATGTCGTTGAATTTTCAATGTAATGTGTATAAAGTTAATCAACATAGTTAATCAGATTATATAGGTAAAATTATCAATTCTCAAATATATTTTCAGGACATGCGAATAAAAGCACCAGCTATGCATTTTGTAATTGAAAATTGATCAACAAATATATTTTACGATAACAAATTATAGGTATCCAGGCATTTGGAAAAAAAATTGCATGTATTTTATACTTATACGGTTCTTTAGTTTTTTTTTTTTTAATTTCTATTTACTTCAACTGTTATATAATAAAAAGTGTAAAACCATTGTGCTATCAGTGTATGACATCATAGATCACTTCCAATTTCAGATCATGCTAATAAACATTCCCTGACAAAAAAAAAAAAAAAAAAAAAAAAAAAAAAAACTCTATAGTTTACTATAGTAAACTTTAGTTAACTATAGTGATAACTTTGACACTCTGACAACTTTGATCTACTAAGGTGATAGCTTTGACATTTTGATTGACTATAGTGATAACTTTGACACTTTGATTTATTAAAGTGATAACTATGGAAACTTTGATTTACTGTAGTGATCACTATGAAAAGTTTGATTTACTATGGTGAAAACTTTGATTTTCTATAGTGATAACTTTGAGAACTTTGATTTACTATAGTGATAACGATGACACTATAGTGATCACTTTGAAACTATAGTGATAACCTTGACACTTTGATTTACGATATTTAACAATAGTAAACTAAAATTAACTATAGTATTTTTTTTTTAGGATTGGTATCTAAGGCTAGATTTCTCTAAAAATGTATTTTTTTTTGTACTTTTATAGGGTACAATTATCAACTTATTACTAAGGCGTTTCAAAGGCTTCAAAGAACCCTGAATAATATTGTATGAAATGAAAATTGTTGCACGAAAGGATTTCAATTTGAAGCCTGATTTTGCGACTTAAAAAAAAAAAAAATACTTTTTAGACTTATCCTTTCGGCCGAGGAGCGGATATTCTTAATTATAAATCGTAACTCGTATTTATTTGTCTAAACTTTATAGCAAGAACACATTTTATTTCGATACGTTCAAATCTGCATTTTGAAGTGTCTTCGCCAAGACATCTTTTCATTCTAACTAGCCTTAAGATTATAAACTTATTCATTGTTTGATAGATTACAGGGATGGAGTCAATTACATAGGAAAATAATTAATTAAATTACAATTACTTGCCCAAAACCTTCAATTAAATTACCATTACCATTACAAGGATTTTGAAATGTAATTAATTAAATTACAATTACTTTGCAAATGTAATTAATTAAATTACACATTACATTAAGAAAAAAACATATAAAAATAAACAATGATAAATAGTCATGAATGTTCATTTATATTCATATAGATTCAGTTCCTTTTTTTTAACATTAAGTAAACATTGTAAAGATGTTAATGAATTTTTTGAATATTGCATCCCCTAACCTACATGAATCTATCAGGTTTAAAAAAAAATCCTCCCACAATGAAAATATTTTACACTGGGGCTGTGTGACGGGAATACATAAATACTGACTAATAGCAAGTTTCAGGGCTTAATTGATCCTTTTTGGTACAGGGCCCTGTACTTTTTTAAATGTGCATTTTTAACTGAAAAAGTTGCAAAATTGGGAAATGTTGTTGACTTATATTTATTTGTTGATTAAAGAGTTAAATAGTGTACTTGTTCTTTAAAAATCATTATAATTTCAAAACATGTTATTTCTATATATAAACAGCATCAAAAAAATGAATTCCGTCATCAGTTTGGAATTGTTACCTAAATTTTTGGGGGAAAA